ATTATGTTAATAATATGAGTATATTGGATTACCTTTCTATGTTGTATAATATTCTGCAGGTAATTTTCAGCAAGAACATCATCAGTTACCCTAAAATACAATAGCTATGTTAACATTCAGAGGAATAATTTAATAGGATTAATGATTTACAATCAACATCATTTAGCAAGATCTTTACGACCAATACTACATGTTACCTATCTGTATAAGTATCTTCTACTAAGTGTTTCAATTCTGCTGCCAATCTTTGCATTCCCACAGAATCTTTACATGAGTTCAGTATTTGTTGCTGTGTAATATAGTCCAGTAGATCCATATCAAGAACAGCTGAGTGCTGTGTGACTCGCTCCACTGAAAACTGCAGAGAAAACATGCACTGATCAATATGTTAACCAACTACTAATAATATGAGGTTATTACGAAGATACTGCAAAGTAAATAAATAGTTTTACAGTAGCTGGAAGGGTAATATTACACAAGTGAAAATAAATGGTTTTACAGTAGCTGGAAGGGTAATATTACATAAGTGAAAATAAATGGTTTTACAGTAGCTGGAAGGGTAATATTACATAAGTGAAAATAAATGGTTTTACAGTAGCTGGAAGGGTAATATTACACCAGTGAAAATAAATGGTTTTACAGTAGCTGGAAGGGTAATATTACACCAGTGAAAATAAATGGTTTTACAGTAGCTGGAAGGGTAAGATTACATAAATGAAAATAAATGGTTTTACAGTAGCTGGAAGGGTAATATTACATAAGTGAAAATAAATGGTTTTACAGTAGCTGGAAGGGTAATATTACACCAGTGAAAATAAATGGTTTTACAGTAGCTGGAAGGGTAATATTACACCAGTGAAAATAAATGGTTTTACAGTAGCTGGAAGGGTAATATTACATAAGTGAAAATAAATAGTTTTACAGTAGCTGGAAGGGTAATATTACATAAGTGAAAATAAATGGTTTTACAGTAGCTGGAAAGGTAATATTACACCAGTGAAAATAAATGGTTTTACAGTAGCTGGGAGGGTAATATTACACCAGTGATAATAAATGGTTTTACAGTAGCTGGAAGGGTAATATTACACCAGTGAAAATAAATGGTTTTACAGTAGCTGGAAGGGTAATATTACACCAGTGAAAATAAATGGTTTGACAGTAGCTGGGAGGGTAATATTACATAAGTGAATTTAAATGGTTTTACAGTAGCTGGAAGGGTAATATTACACCAGTGAAAATAAATGGTTTTACAGTAGCTGGAAGGGTAATATTACACCAGTGAAAATAAATGGTTTTACAGTAGCTGGAAGGCTAATATTACAT